GTCTGAGATGGCGCCAGGAAAAACACGGACAGGTACGATGCCACCGCGTGTTGAAAACTACAGGTAAATGATGTGCTAGATGGTGCACTGCGGGCCAACCCCTAGACTGGATCTAGACTCTCGACGAGCTTGCATGTGCTGACAGTCCTCTCTTCCTCTCAATTTGCACCTCGCTTCCGTAAAGCCCGCCGCTGCCAGCTCTTCAACGCACCGCCTGTGCTACAAGAACTTGGCTTTCCAGACGCGTCGGAAGAAGATGCCATGAGTGCAGATGTTCTTCTGATTCGGTCTTTGGTCTTGCCATGAAGCCCGGTACATTGGGCCTCGGTGTCGTTGTTCTTGTAACCTACGAGCTCGTTTTGATTAGATCCTGCTTGAAGCCTGAGGTATGCACGATCAGCCGCCAAGCCCTGGCCCGAGTCCAAGATGCTGCAGACGGGCTCCCTCGAACCCAGTAACCGTAACAATAATATTAATAATATAATAATAATAATTGTAATAATAATATAATAATAATAATATAATAATAATAATATAATAATAATAATAATAATAATAATAATAATAATAATAATAATAATAATAATAACAATAATGATATAATAAGAACCCTGCAACTCGCTGCCTCGCCGAAGCGCCGGATCCACGAGGGTAGAGGGCACCTCCATCTCGACGCCTCGCGGGAGGGTTGAAGGAAAACGATGTTTTCAGAGCTTTCGAAGGGTGCTGCATCCTTCCTGAGCAGTTTTAGGGCTGCTGATTCTGGGAGGAAGGAGCATTTTCTTGGCTGCCCCTCGCATTGTCCCGTGAAGTGGACTCGGGGCAGACTTGGGATTCAAATCGAATGTGGCAAGAAGGCCCAGCGCATCGACTCAAGACAATCCATGATCAGCCCTCCGTTAACCTTGACACCGTCACCACCTCCGTGTAAATTTCACACAGCACATTGCCTTGAACCAAGGCTCCTGAACCCTAAACTCTGAATGCAACATGGGAGTTTCCGAAAATTGTACCTTATTATTTTGGGGTCCTTATAATAAGGATCCTACTATTAAGGATACTATACTGGAGTCCCGTATTTTCGGAAACTCCCACATCTCAGATGACACTCTGGGGCTCCTGCTAAGGGCCCAGGAGAGATCACCCTGACCGCCGGCAACGTCCAGGACGCCACTGCCTTCGCAGAGAGCCTCTCGGAAAGGGCCGATACCAGATCTGCAGAATGAGGGCTTTAGGGCACCTTTTCTTTTAAGCTTCGGGCACTTTAGGGTTCAGGGTCTTCTGGAAGGGTTTCCATGTTGCGCCGTCACCGCTGGGGAGAGGTGGTCATAAACTCAGTGCCTTGGCCGCACTCTCGCTTAGCAAGACCCACCCTGTTTAGCCTCATGGGAGTTTGCGCAAATTGGGGGGTACCTCATTTTGGGGTTCTTATAACGAGGATCCTACAATTAAGGGTACTATATTAGGGTCCCCTATTTTCGGAATGGTGTGGCGATCCTCGAGACAGACCTGGGACGTTGAGTATCGAAGCTTACGCTCAGGAGCCAACCTTGAGTCTTGAGTTGCATCCACGAGTCCAGCCTTGTATTCTGAGACTACATCATCCATAATTTCAGCGATTCAGAACCTCATGCCAAACCTAATGGACACCTCGCTTGAACCTTAGAGCCTTAGACTCAGCCTTAGATGAATCACCGTCATCATCAACAACAACATCAACATCACACTTGCAATTGCTTTGTCTTCAGAACCCGGTAGTTAGTCATGAGCAAAATGCCCTGGGCTCTCAGCCCAAGCCCAGCGCCTCCTTGCCGTAGGTCTGGACGAGCCAAGCCGCGAAGCGAGCAGCACGCCGCGGCTTCGCCGCTTTGTCGTGGGGTCCTGTGGGCTGTGTAGCCCTCTGGAGTCGCAAGGTCTGGCGTTGCGACGTATAGTATTTCTAGAACCTTCACACATGTCGAGACTTAGGTTTAGGATTGCGTGTCCCCGCGACCCTGTCCGACCGTCGGCCACAGCATCGTAAGCGCTCTGCTCTGCTGCCGAGATCTCCTCCATGGCGAGGGAACACATTGCACATGTGCCAACGACCGGAGGGAAGAGGACGACAGAGGAGCAGTAGCAGTCGCACTGTAGCGTACGACTATGATGAGAATTCCTATTACTACTGCCGCTACTACAACGACGACTACCACGACGGTAACTCTTCTGCGAGGATACTGCTGCTGCTACTGCTACTGCCAATACTGCTGCGACTGCTTCTGCTACTGCGAGTGCGACTGCTACTGCTGCTGGTACTGCTGCTCCTGCTACTGCTGCTACTGCTGCTACTGCGGCTACTGCTACTACTGCTGCTACTACTACTCCTACTCCTACGCCTACGCCTGCCCCTGACTCCTGTTCCTACTGGTGCTCCTACTCCTCCTGCTACTCCTACTCCTCTACCCTACTACCCCCTACTACTCTATTACTCTACTACTCTACTACTCTACTACTCTACTACTCTACTACTCTTCTACTCTACTACTCTACTACTCTACTACTCTGCTACTGCTACTACTACTACTCCTACTACTTCTACTACTACTACTACTACTACTACGACTACTACTTCTTCTACTCCTCCTGCCGCTGCTGCTACTACTACTACTACCACCACCACCACCACTACTAGTAGTACTACTGCTACTACTACTACTCCTGGTGGCCGCTGCTGCTACTGCTGCTACTGCTGCTACTACTACAGTATCAACGGTAGCAGGCAGTCGTAGCAGCAGCAGTGGCAGTGGCAGTGGCCGTAGCAGTAGCAGTGGCAGCGGCAGTAGCCGTAGCAGTAGAAGCAGCAGTAGCCTTAGCACTAGTAACAGTCGTCGTCGGCGTCGTCGTAGTGCTGGTAGTAGTAGTAGTAGTAGTAGCAGCAGCAGCAGTAGTAGTAGTAGTAGCAGGAGTAGTAGTAGTAGTAGTAGTAGCAGTAGTAGTTGTTGTTGTTGTAGCAGTACTAGTAGTGGTGGTAGTAGAAGTAGTAGTAGTAGTAGTAGTAGTAGTAGTAGTAGTAGAAGTAGTAGTAGTAGTAGTAGTAGTAGTAGTAGTAGTAGTAGTAGTAGTAGTAGTAGTGGTAGTAGTAGTAGTAGTAGTAGTATATAGTAGTAGTAGTAGTAGTAGTAGTAGTAGTAGTAGTAGTAGTAGTAGTAGTAGTAGTAGTAGTGGTGAAAGAAGAAGTAGTCGTCGTCAAAGTATAGAGTAGTAGTAACGGTAGTAGCAGAAGTACCAGTGGTAGCAGCAGTAGCGGCAGCGGCAGCCGCAGCAGTAGCAGTAGGAGTAGCAGAAGGAGTAGTAAGAGTAGGGGTAAGGCTTAGTTGTAGCGGTAGCAGCAGTAGCAGCAGTAGCAGCTGTAGCAGCAGTAGCAGCAGGAGCAGCAGGAGCAGCAGAAGCAGCAGAAGCAGCAGTAGCAGCAGGATCAGTAGGATCAGCAGTAGTAGCAGTAGTAGCAGTAGTAGCAGTGGTACCAGTGGTAGCGTGGTAGCAGTAGCAGTAGCAGTAGCAGTAGCAGTAGTAGTAGTAGTGGTGGTGGTAGTAGTAGTAGTAGTAGTGGTGGTAGTAGTAGTAGTAGCAGTAGTAGTAGTTGTAGTAGTAGCAGCCGTCGTCGTAATGGTGGTAATAAGGGAAGAAGTAGTGGTCGCCGTCGCCACCGTCATCGTCGTAGTCCTGGAAGTCGTAGTCGGAGTGGTAGTACCAGCAGTCGCAGTCGTTGCAGCAGTGAAGCAGCAGTAGTGGTAAGTAGCAGTGGTAGCAGCAGCAGCTGATGTTGCAGTCGTTCTTCCCCAGCTCCTCGCAGCCACGCCGGCCAGCAGCCAAGGCCGAAGCCTTGACTTCCTCGAGGTCTGGTTCAAGGTGTACCGCTTCGGCGGTTACTGTAGGGTTTCAGCGATTGGGGTTTGGCCCACTTGTGGGCCTGCAAGGGTTATGAACTGTCGTTCGCATGTTGGTTTAATTACAATAGTTACTAGTGCTGTACATGACACGTTTGATGAGCCTTACCATCATCGCTGCGACAACGCCTACCACTACCACTATCACTACCACCACTACCCCTTCCACTACATCTATCACGACCGCCCCCACCAACACCACCACCACCGCCACCGCCACTGCGACCACGACCACCACCAGTACCACTATCGGGACACGACCACGACCATGACCACTACGACTACGAAGACGAATACGATGACCACTATAACTACTACTAGCACTGTTATTCGGAGGGCACTAGTCCGTTACGATCGGTGTGCACGCATAGGAAAAAATGCAGACGGACTCCTTTTTCCGGATGGCTGAAACCCGTAGCGGTCTGGATAAGTGCCGGTACCTCGGGCCGGACACAAACCCCAAAGAAGACTGCTACGGATCGGTACGGGCACCGGTCAGGACGGAAAACGTCGGAGCCGGGTGCCGAAAAAGACTTTGCGGTTTTCTGAAGCCGGCCTACGCATGCAGGAAAGGGCAAAGTCCAACCCACACCAGAAATCCAGGCTGTAAGCTGCGGATTGAAGGGCCTAAATCAAAGGCGGAGACCAAGGGGGAGGTGGCGGGAAAGAAAAGGCTAGCACACCGTCGGCATGCGGAACGGATACGCCTAAGTCGAACGGCTGCGGTATGGTTACGACTTGCCGTTGCGAGCCCTCCGAATAACACAATACGACACGTCGAGAAACCGTTATTCGGAGGGCACTAGTCCGTTACGATCGGTGTGCACGCATAGGAAAAAATGCAGACGGACTCCTTTTTCCGGATGGCTGAAACCCGTAGCGGTCTGGATAAGTGCCGGTACCTCGGGCCGGACACAAACCCCAAAGAAGACTGCTACGGATCGGTACGGGCACCGGTCAGGACGGAAAACGTCGGAGCCGGGTGCCGAAAAAGACTTTGCGGTTTTCTGAAGCCAAGATCTTGAACGAAGTCCAGGCAAAGGAGTACCCGCACCGGGGAGAAAACAGCCAAAGTCAGAAGTCCAATGCCGGGAAGAGGTCACGGTTGAAAGCGGCCGCAGGAGAGTAAGACGGGCGCGGAGGACCACACAACAGGTGCCAAGGGACCAGGATCTCATCGGCAGGATTGAGTCCCAATGTGCCCGGGTCGCGGGACCGGCTGAGGGCATCAGCAATCTTGTTACGGAACCCCGGAACATGATCGATATGTGCGGAAATGCAGAAATGACGCTGCCACAACAGGTAGGAGTGCAGTAGGTCACACATACCGCGGGCCGTAGAGAGGCCTTTCCATGAAGCCGACTCGGAAGGGCTGTTGTCACAGCGGCTGACGAAATGCACTGGGTGGTGAGCGGCCGGGACAACGAGAGCAACGCACCAGAGAAGCGCGATTTGGCCAAGGAGTTCCCAGGCAGCGATGAATTTCTGAGGTGAAGTGTCAGGGGAATACCAAGCACAAAGTCGAGCAAGATCCGCAGGGGATAAGGCGGATCGGAACCAGACCGTACGGCCGGAGGGAAAAGCCACGAAGCCGCCCAAGCCCGCGTGTTTGCTGTCGGCACAGGCGTCAGCAAACGCCTCGCAAGTTAACAGCGGCGACAGAGACAGCGGGAAGAGCGGGATGGTCTGACACAAGCAGGAGTGCCAAAGGTCCAAGACGGCTTTAGATTCCTGCGAAAGCTTCCGGTCAGAGTCAGGAGGGGAGCGGACGGAAATCCAGAGTCGGCGTTCACCGGCAAAGTGGAGAGGAACATCCTTCAGTGTATGAACAGGGCGGGAAGCCACACTGACCAGGGTGCAGCCCTGGGGGCAACTAGCCAGACCGACAGATTTTGTAAGCACGAGGTCTTTGGACAGGGCTGCACGGAAGGATTCCCACGTAGAGGGGGCCACAGCAACATGAACAAGTGGAGGTAGGCTCTGGTCCCGATAAAGCGGTGCCGGAAGGGACGAAACAGGGAACAAACCCAAAGGAGTTTGCCGGTGAGTTTGCGAAGCAGGTGTAGTGGAATCGCATCCCCGGAACGGGCAGAAGAAATCAGAAGGCGGAGACGGGCCAGCTTCGGTGGTTCAAGCGTGGCGGTAAAGGTTTCCAGGGACATAGACCAACCAATCCAAGTCGGCCGTGCGCCTAAATAGGCTTTGTGCCAACTCATTGGGACGCGAAGCACAAGAAGGAAAACACACAGCACAGCGGCCCAGACCGGCGCGGACGGACCGGAAAGGAGGGAGATCAGGTCGTCGACATAGATGAGCAGGGCGTGGCGGATGAACAGAAGCCGATGCATGAGGCGTGAGAGAATCCCCGCCAATCGTGCCCAGTAAAAGCCGGACGCGCGTGCACCGAAATTCAATGTGAGACACTGGAACAGGCGGCCGCGATGGAAGAAGCAAAGAAGGCCTTGATCGGCGGCCCGGATCAGTATGCGCCGGTGAGCTTTGCTGACGTCCAAGATCAGTGCGAAGAGCTGTTCCAGGGCCAGACGGAGGGGAAAGCAGCGACGGAGACCCGAGATGGTCGGGTTCGCGGACTTATTAGGAAGAGTGGTGTGTTCTGTAGCGCGGAAACGCTGGAATCCACCACCAGGCGGGGGTCACGGTCGGGGGCCTTAAGTCCAAGCTTCCCCACGGCGGTGCGAGCATAGGTAGCGACGAGGCTGTCAAGACCGCCCGGAACCTCCCGCACCCAACCTTCGGAAACTTCGGTTTGAAGAAGGGAATCAACAGTGGACAGGTCGGAGAGAGCTGATCCCCAGGAGGAGGAACAATGCTGTAAGTCCATGGATGGGTCCTTGGTGGCAGAAGCAGGAAACAGCGTTGGGCAGGCAGGCATAGGTTCGTCAACACCCAGAGGTACTCCTTCAAGCAGCAAGTCCACGAAGGGTCGATCCGGGTCGCGCGAGAGCTGGAGCAGCGCATCCAGAAGGAACAGGCGCAACGGTTGGCCCGGAGGGACCGAAAGAAGTGTATCAAAGTCAGTAACCGCCAAGCCCAGAAAGGAGCGCAAGTCACCCAAGAAAGGTTCCAGTTCGGATTCAGAAATGGGGGCATCCTTAGAACCGGATGCCAGGCGAGCGCGAAATTTGGCAAGGAAATCCCCCGACAGGATGCGCTTAACCCAGAGTTTGCGCAGGTGTTAAAGAACGGGCTTCACTAAGGGTTCCTACTCACAAAGACTGTCGGACACTTTTGTTCCTGGGCACGGTGTGTCCTGGGGTCTCGAGCCTGCACGTCGCGTGTGCGTGACGGCTGTTCCTGTACATTAACTGTACTGCACTAGCTGTGTTACTGTTCCTGGCAGAATGTTTAACACCCCGCCTTCGGAGTTAGCGAAAGTTCCTCGACTGAGGTGACTCCGACTTTTCCTGAACAAACAGTAAACACGCTGCAGTTCCTTTTCACTTGCAAAACAAACACTGTTCCTCATTGCAAACGTATGCGCACGTTCACTCGCAATCCTCTCCAAGGTTGCTCGACTGTACAAAAGACGTTCCTGCACTTTACCTAGATCACCACAGAAACAAAAAGGGCTGTGCCACGGTTCCTGTGTCCTGCTGCTTCTTTCCTCGGCTCTCTGGCCTCAGTACTGCTCGCGGTTCCTTTGCTTCACTGGAAGTTCACTTTGCCTTCCTCTTCGCTGTCTTTAGCTTCCTCTTGGTCTTGAAGCTGTTCCTTTAGCCACTCTTCTTTCATCTTTGCTTGAGCTTTGCACTTCTCCTTTCCTTGCTTGTCCTTTGACGCTGCTTTCCAACCTGTTTCCTTTGATCCTGAATACCAGTACCACTGTGCCTTGGACTCGTTCCACTTCCACTGGTATTTCCTGTTCTGGAAACTGTAGACTGCAAACCAGTTTCCTTCAAACTCTCCTTTTCCTTTTCCTTTCATGAACGATGCTTCGTTCACTGGTCCTTTGGCGGACAGTTCTGGGTCGTCCTTGTCTTCTTCCTTCTGCTTGTGCTGTGTGACGTTCGGTGGCTCCTTTCCTGTTGCTTTTCCTGTTCCTTTTGCTTCTGGCTTCTCCTCTTCCTTTGCTGGTGTTGTGTCTGGTTCTGTGGGTGCCTGCGACCCGGCTGCTGATCCTCTGCTCTCAAGCTCCTGTGTAAGGCTTGCAATCCTTTCTTTATCCTCTTTGCGTTCCTTCATCATCTCCTTCATCATTTCTTCAAGCTTCTGGATCCTGTCTGCTTCACCTGATCCTGTTGCTGTTGTTGCTGCTGCCTTCTTCTCTGCTTCCTTCTTGGCAATGTACGCTGACGCTGCCTTTTGATCTTCCTCTCTTTTCTTCCTGGCTTCCTTCTCCTTTCTTTTCTTCTCCTGCTCCTTTCTTTCCTTTTCCTCTTTGGCTGCTGCGGCTGCTGCTTTCTCTTCTTCCTCCTTTGCTGCTGCCGCTTCGGTCTCCTCCTTTTCCTTTGCTTCTCTCTCTGCTTTGGCTTTGGCTGCTGCTTCTACCTCTCGCCTTCTCTCGGCGGCTGCGGCTGCTTCCTGCCTTGCTGCTTCCTTGTCTCTCTTCTCCTGCTCGTCTGCTGCCGCTTCCAAAATCAACCTTGCTTTGGCAATCTGCTCCTCTTTTGCCTTCTTCTCCTCTTCTGCTTTTGCTTTTGCTTCTCTTTGTTCCTTTGAGATCCTGTCCTGTTCTGCCCAGTATTTGCGATCATCTTCATCTCGAGGTCGAAATCCTGTGCTTTCTGCTCTTGCCTTTGGCTTTCCTTTTCCTTTTCCTTCCTTCTTTCCTTTTGTTCCCTTCTCGTGCTTGTACGTGTAGTCCTTGTCGACCCACTGCTTTTCTCCTGTAACTCTGTGTTGCCTGTAGATCTCGCCGTTCTCGGAGTATTCCTTCCACTCGCTTGCGTAGTCGTAGGGGTACGGAAAAAGCTTCTTCTCCTCTTCCTTTTCCTTGAGCCTTTGCTTGCTTCTGGCGTTGATCTCCGCGATCTTCTTCTTCCTTCTTTCTTCCTTTGCTTCCTCACTTTCTTCTTCCTCTGCTGCTGCTGCTGTTCCTTCATCGGGGTACTCCCCGGGATCTTCTCCTCCAACGTAGCTGCTGACGTAGGCCTCGTTCTCGTTCTCGTTATCCTGCTCTCGTTCCTGGATGCCCTCGAAGTAGCCTCGGTCCGAATATTCCTTCCTTTCCTGGGACGTAGGTGACGTAGCTCTCGACGGTGCTGTTCCTTGTCCGTGTCCTTCACGACGTAGTTCACCTTCTAGTTCTCGGTCCTTGGCTTCTCTTTTCCTTTGTTCTTCTTCGTCTTCTTCCTCTTCTTCTTGTTCCTCTTGCTGCTCGTAGAAGTCCTGCATCATCTGGTTCAGCTGTTCCTTTACGGCGTCACATGTGCCTAGGACGAAGGCCATGTGTTCCTTGACCTGTTGCCGGTCTCTGTCGTTCTGTTCGGCCATTTCCTGAACCTGGTGCTTGACGTCGTAGATTTGTCCTGTCAAGGACTCTACACAACCAGCCACGTGTTCCTGGCTTTTGCGCAAACGCGCAGCTTCCTCTGTGTTCTTCCTGATCGACTCCGCGATCAAGTTCCTTTCTTCTGAAGCGTTCCTTAAGGCGGTTGCCGCCTCTCTCAAGGTAGAAAGTTCCTTGAACACTTCTTCGGTGCTTTTGCTCGAACTCGCGCTTGCTTCCATGGCTGCTAAGGTTCCTGGAAGGTTTCCTTGACCTTCTGCTACCGGGCGAACTAGTTCCTGGATACCTGAGCGTTCCGCGAGTGTTCCGCAGAGTTCCTTGAGCTGCGAAAGCATCTCACAACATGTTGTTCCATGAGCTGTTCCTGCAGACGTTCCTAGCTCACATGCACTCGTGTCACTGCACATGCCGTCCTGCTCACATGCACTTGCACAACAGAAAACATGTTCCTGAAAGTCTGGCTGAAACTCTTCTTCCTGAACACAACTCTCAAAACACTGTTCCTTGAAACTCTGAATCTGAAGACTGTCTGAAATACCTGAAATTCCTGCAAACAACAAAGCTGCAAAAGACAAAGTTCCTGGGCTCTTGATCATTCTTACAACTGCTTTAGCTTGTGTTTGGGCCTTGTGTTCCTTGAGCTCTTCTCTGCCTACTGGTTCGTTCTCGCTGGTTTGAAAACCTAGCCAGTGCAACAACAGTCTGATACGTTTCGCTGAAAGGGGCTTGGTACCTATGTCGGCTGTGTTCTCCTTGGTTCCTACTGGGTGAACACTAATTGTTCCTTCTTTGTGGAGGTCTTGAAGAAAAAGGGTCCTGATCTGCAAATGCTTGACTCTTCCTACACCTTGCCTTGTAATAATTCCTCTAGCTGCAGAAGAATCCATGTACAAGTGTACCTTGCATTGTTTCCTGGTCAAGAATTCTACTGCTTCCTTCAACAATATAGAATCTGACGCTGCTGACGCTCCTGCGTAGTACTCTGCTTCACCACTGCTCAAGCTAACCGACTTCTGGTTCCTAGAAAAGGAGTAAATGCACTGACCGTCTAGGCAAACAATTCCTGAAGATGTTGAGCGCCTTGTGTCCTTCTTTCCTGCCCAATCTGAATCGCTGAAGACTTCCAAAAGGTGGTGTTCCTTGGGCCTTATTCCTGTAAAGTCGTAGTTACCATTCCTGATGGATTCATGGAGATTACTGAGTCCTCTAGGCGTTTTCCTGTACACTAAATGGTATCCTTCAGTTCTCGACATGTACTGCACTAGGTGGACTAAGTGTTTCCAAGAACCATGTGTTGGTTCCGACATCTTGGAGGCCAAACCTCTCACGGCAAACTGCACGTCAGGGCGGTCCTGACTGACATACAAGAGTATGCCAACGCTTTTCCTGAACGATGCCGCTTGTTCCTGGTTCAAGGTCTGAGTGTTGTCCTGTTCCTGCGACTCTTGGGTGCACGGAGTTGGCTTCGAGGCTTTGCTGGTAAGCTTCAGTTCTTCCTTAAGCTTCACAAGATACTTCGGGTCACTCGTGATGTGGAGCTCGTGATTGTGGTAGCTGAATTTCCTTTTAAGGAATCGGATTGTCTGGTGTGACTCTCCTACCTCAAGTTCCTGCTCTGTCAAGAAGGGGCCTTCAACCTTTAGCTCGTAGGTTTCTCCTAGCTTTCCTAGCTTGGGCTCTAGGTGCCTTGTTTTCCCTGCTGCCTGAATGTCATCTACATGCACAACAAGTATGCTGTTCCTGTCGTCACGAAACAAAGTAGGGCAAGCTTTGCTCCTATCAAAGTTCTGCTCTTTGAGGGTTCCTGCAAAATGATCACTCCATAGTAGTGCTGCATCTCGCTGTCCTGGAAGTACTCTAAGCAGTAACAAACCTTCGTTCCTACAACTAGGGTCCTGGTCGCCAAACAGATCCACATATTCCTTCGGGAATTGACATGCACATCGCGTCCTTTGTGGGACCTGCAAGAATGCGTCCTTGACATCAATGGAGTACAGGGAATGTTCCTGTTGTAATCCTAAGATCGGGATAAGTCTCACCAACGATGCGCTCGTCGCTGGGCTGAACGTGTCGTTCCTTACTTCTGCTCCTTTGAACTCTCTCGCTACTAACCTAGCTCTCCGCATCCATCGGCCGTTCCTGAATCGCCAATCGAAGACGAATTTCGTCGTCAACCACTTTGTTCCTTGGTTGCTCTCTTCTTCTTCTGTCTCTCTCTCCTCTTCTCTCTCGAGTTCTTGCAAGGGTTTCCTTGCCAGTGCCTTCATCTCGGTGAGTCTGTTGATCTCTGTGAGCATTGCCTCACGATCCAGTTCCTGCAACTGGGCTTCTGCAACTTCTGGAGGTCCAGAATCTTCGCTCTTGAAGATGTCTTGTTCCTCATCGGAATCGCCAATGTCCGAATATGAATCTTCCCAGAAAATGTCCTCTGTACCTGGTTCTGCTTCAGGTAGTTCTTCATCATTGTGCTCAAATACTCTTCCTACGTTGAACGGAGGGTACTTCTTCTTCGGAGAATCAATCTTCGGGATCTTGGAACCTGTTCCTACATCATCAAATTCCATTTTCCTAAGAGGTGCTGGTCCTCTAGCTGAAAGAAGCTCACTTGCCATTGCGCTGTCTGGGATGAGTTCTTCTTCTGA